AAAAAGCCATCGAGTTACCATCAAGTTGCCCCCTCATAGTGAGTGAGGCTACAGGACAGTGCAGAGCAGTCCCGTGGGGTTGCCCAGGCTGTAAGTCATTACAGAAGCAGGGTTCCACATCTTTCTCTCCTGAAGCAGTTGGTGGGATTGTAACTCCAACCTTTTAGTACACAGCTCAGAATTCACCTACTGTATCATATTATTTTGAATGGCTAGATCTTTCATGTTAATAGTAGATGCCTAATGCGTAGATTCTATGCTTTGTGGAAAAACATTGTAAATTTGCCCTGGTTTGCACCTGCTTTTCAAGAACCAAGCTGAAATGGAATTAAAGGTGAAGTCAACAGCACATTCACCGTTATTTATTCATTGACATTTTAAAAAAACAAATCTCCATCTAGGACTTACCCCCTAGTGGCGTAAGTGTAGGCATTGGGCTACTGACCATAAGTTCAAACTCATAAGTTGCTTCTCAAGAGGAAAATGAGGCTGTCTACTCCCGTAAAGATTTACAGCCCCCCAAATTCTATATAAGGTTCCTATGAGTCAGAATCAATTCAATGGCAGTGTGTAGGTTTCGTAGGCTTGAGCTGTGGTCCTGTTATTAAAATATCTTACTATGATGTGATAAGAGGAAGACATGAAACTTAATAAGTGCTCTAGTAGTTTAACAAATGGATTGTGGAATCTGTTTCTATCAGACAAAATTTCACAAATCATTTCTAAAAGTGAAAGCAAGAACAGTATATTGAGAAATTACTGTTACATTAAATCTCATCACAACTAACTTCTAGATAAGGAAAAATAATCAGATGTGAATAAAAGCATAACAATTTCTTGAAAAAGTGGATCAAGAATTACGAATGAGTAAGTCCTACCCGATGCTACTTGAAAGGCTCATTACCATGAAGGTCCATTGGGCATACCATTGTGGAGCCCAGAGCTGACTGTAACAAGAGCAGTGTCTACGGAATTTTGGAGACAGATGTCAACTCGGAGTATGTTGAAGAATGAATGAGAGGTGGAAATGATTACAGCATATACAGACAATTTTAAAAAGAAATCTGGTTATAAAGGGAAAGATGTTTATGATAGGGTGGTAGTGAATGTAAAGTGCAGGGAGCATTTTTTAAAAGATTGTGTTAGTCCAG